TTTAGTGCATTTGGTATTTCTCTTTGGCATTAGTATTATGTGTGTCTTTTTCCTTATATTATTTGGTATTACAAAAATATGCTTGGTCTCTTCTTACATGGAACAGAAGCATGATACTGTGAATAAAGCCCAGACAGAGGAATTGCTATTGGTAAGTGCAATTGAGTTGTTTCCAACTCCTAGTGACCCTGTAAACGGTTTCCATAAAGTGACTAGTGGGTTTGAACTGCTGACGTTGTGGTTCACATTATAGCACTAATCCTACAGTTCCATGCCAGGAGTCAGAGGTAGGTGATGATAAAAAGTTTATGTCTTATAGCGTTGGTTGTTCACTTTTAAGTGAAGATTCTAACACCAACTAAAAGTGCTTATTTGAGCATTAAATATATCTATGTTAATTTGCTTCATACAGCATGCTTTAATTTAGTAAATTAATATATGTTTAAGGAAGTCCTGGTAGCACAGTGCTTAAAGTGCTCAGCTGCTAACTGACAGACTGGCAGTTTAAACCTACCAGCCACTCTGCGGTTGGCAGATGAAATACGCTGCTTCTGTAAGGATTTACACCTTGAAAACACCATAGGGCATTTCTGCTCTGTCCTTACAGTCACTATGAGTTGGCTTGGCTCAATGGTAATGGGTTTGGGTTATATACATTTAAAGTTATTAACTGTAGAATTGAAAATATCTCAAACATATCTCCAGAATAGGTTCTTACAAACCGCTAACTAAGTTTTCAGGAATAAATCTTTGCTAAATTTACAGTAAACCAGTCAAACCAACGAGAACTACTTACTATAAGAAACCAACTGCTTTTACTCAGTTAATTACTTTAATTGAGGTTTCCCATCTGGCACTATTATTATACCACACTTTTCTGCTGCCTTTATTCATTAGATCGTTGTGGTTGCTAAATGCCTTTGAGCCAGTTCTGACTCACAGCAACCCTGTATAGGCTGGTGGGTTTGAACCACTGACCTTGTGGGTTAGTTGGGTTAGTTGTCTAGAGCTGATGCTACAGTGTCACACCGGAACTACAATCATTAGATTGATGTTGTTAAGTCCCACTGAGTTGGTGCCAAGTCATAGCAACCCTGTAGTGTTTCTGAGAAACAGTTGGTGGGTTTGAACCACCGACCTTGTGGTTAGCAGTCCAGGGCTGAACACACCACACTAGGATTCCATGAAACATTGGTTTTCATTATTTTGATTAATTAACCTCTTAAATATATCAGGGCAATTTGCCATTTAAAATAGGTCTTTTGAAGAACTCATCATTTGTATTTATTTTAAATATTTGAATTTGACATCATAGATTTGCTTTTTAAAGCAGAATATACCTGTAAATGTGTTCTGTTCCAAAGAGAATCAGTGGTATGATGTGAAAGGCAATGTCAAAAGTCATTTATAAAAGACATGCAATGTAAAGTAAATCTACAAAAAGTTCTTAAGAAATGCTACACTGTAGGTCACAGAGTGCTTGAGTAAATATGTTCTGAGGGCAATAACATATTTAAAATGCCAAACAGATCATCTAAAATAGAATGGTGCTGGTGCCAGTATATTTCACTATGTGGTGTTTATCTAAATTTTAAATAAAATGCACTAAAACATACCTTTACATTGTGCATACTCATGATGTTTCCACAGTCATCCATGTATTGTTTTAGGTCTTTGTCCTGAACAAAAAAACAAACCAAACAAATAAATAATAGCACTTCATCATGTGATACGTAATTTTCAGAATGCAAGGCAGACTCAATTAATAGTATTTAGTTTTAAAAGGTAAATTGTTTTTCAAGGAAAGATATTGGAAACACCAGATCAAAAATTTAATGATATACAAACAACTAAACAATAATGTCTCTGGACTGTTAAGTCTAATATCTTGCTATAACTTTTAATACAAAGTTAAATACTGATTTTTTTTAATTAAATGCTTACCAGATATTCAAAGACCAGAGTCAAAGATTTATCTGTGTGAACAATGTCATGTAACGTAACTATATTTGCATGTTTTAGATCCTTTAATAGTGAAACTGCAAAACAGAAAGAAGAATCATTATTTTGCCTGTGTAATAACCAGTCTTCCTGAAAAAAAACTCTAGAAATCTAACACATGATCTTACTGAGTTTAAGATTCTCTTAAATTTAAATCAATACTTCATTAAGGGGGTTAGTAGTAAAAACTTTGGTGGAATCAACTTAGCTACTTTTTCTTTTATGGTTTTGGGTTTGATGTTTTGTTGTTATTAAGTGCTGTCGAGTTGGTTCTGACTCATAGCAATCCTGTACAGGGTTTCTAAGGAGTAGCTGGTGAGCTTGAACCACCAACCTTGCAGTTCAAGCCAACCTTGAGGTTCAGTGCTTACCCTACAGAGACACAATGTAATAAACTTGAAATTGTTCCATTATAATAATACTTTTATAAATCATCTTCTCCTTTTCTTTATATATTAACTTTTGAGACTTTTGGGATTCATTTGAATATAAAGTGCCAAGCATTCAGCTTTCTAATTGCTGAACAGTTACTTCAAACCATTTCTGGAACAATTAATCTTTTCATTATAAAATAGTATCATGTGACACTGTGGGATAAAGCAGTGGAACATCAGCAGTCACTTTGAATCCCAAGGTCATCCCAAGGTCAGTGGTTCAAACACACCAGACGCTCCTTGAAAACCCTCTACAGGGTTACTATGATTCAGAACTGACTCAACAGCACTTAACAACAGCATAAATATATTAACATGCTATATATACTAATATATAGTTAGCTCTATATAGTATAGTTAAGGAGCTCTGGTAGCGTAGTGGTTACAAATCGGGCTGCGAACCTAAGGTCAGCGGTTGGAAACTACCAGCTGCTCCGCGGGAGAAAGATGAGGCTTTCTACTCCCGTAAAGATTTACACCCTCGGAAACCCTGTACAGGGTCGCTATGGGTCGG